TTCCCCCGCGTATCAATTCGGCTCTCAGTGTGGACCGCAACACTCAAATATATGTATACAATGTCCTGTTAGCTCACTGAGCTCTACAAATTTGTATTGCCAGCAACTCAGGAGCTACTGCGTTTCTACTAATAGTGCCTTGGCAATGGGTTTTAATGTTTTTGTGCAATGTGATGTAGCTGTTGTAAGGCAACACAAGCTGTCCGTGAGCTGCACACGCTGTAGTAGGATGCTCTTTGCCATGCTGTTCTGTATTAACAAAAATCACATTACTGCTGTGCAGTGATGGCAGTTCCACTGCTCAAACCCCAGAAGTATTACAGAATTCAAGAGGAGGCAACACCTACAGATTATTTCTTTTTTATATAAAGTACTTTATCTGATGTAAACAAAAGCATTGGTATAAAATAGCCTTTCAAATATGGCAGTCACTCACTTGCTGTGTCAGCAATATGTCCTGAAAGAAAAGACATGCTCCGTAACCTACATTTCAAAGGTCACAGTGCTACTGCTCCAAGCTTCTGAATATCACAGTTTGAGCCAGCATCATGGCTGGTGCGAAGATTCACTCTCTTTTGCTGCTTATACTATACCATTGCTGTCAGAGATGTATCCCATGTGGAATTTCAACACATGTTGAAATAGGTAAGACATATTCAGAATTAATTTGCTTGTGTTTTAACTTGCTTGTGAAGAGGAGTAAATTCAGATTCAGCTGAAAAGCAAAGGGAAGAAATAATGTGAAAGTAACGATCAGTCTACGTTATTTAAAACATATGATTAATGCTTAGGATAGATGAGTAGTTTGATTTTGGAGTTCAAAACTTTATTGGTTTTATAAGCCAAATGCTTGAATCAACTTGGGTTGCATATTTTTCCGTCTTCTAAAACACAGGCATTATGCAACTGGAATGTTTGTGTCTGTGAGTCTTACGCAGGCAGGGTTTGGTTTGGAGAAAGAAAAGGAATAATTTAGGCAATTTGTGGGATTGTTATATTTAAACTAAGGAATAACACAGGTCATTTGGGGTAGCTCTGTTCAGATCCCCATGTAGTAATTTTGCCATACCTGCATAAAATAGATAAAATGCTATGATGTGTTTGTATCTCTGACTAACACCATGAAAATTTAGTTCTGTGTCTCTTCCTGGTAGGTTGCCTGAACAGCCTAGATTTGTAGAGAATGAGGGAGAGAGCTGAGTGAACATCAAAGTAGGGACATATTTCTGTTTTGAATTTCTTGTTTGCCTGTGTTATTTTTAAAATCTGTTTTCTGCTGCAGTTCTTCCAAGAAAGCACATGGGTAGTGTGAGGTTACTCCCACATACTTACTCATAATAATCGACAGTTTTAATTGTTTGTCCTTTTCTTTTTGATTCTGAGTCTGTTGTTCAACCACGTGGCAAAACATAGGATGTTGCAGAATTCAGGTAATCTCAGACTGACTACATGCAACTCTGAATGAGTTAAAGGCTGGGATTATTCATGGCATCCAAGACTGAGAGTGTGTTTCCTTACTGAGTGTTGTAGCCTTTGTCAGCATCCTGGAACCATTCCCTTTTCCTAGTGGTATGTTAAGAGAGCCATAGTAATCTGTAGAAGTCACACTGCCTGGTGTTAGGCAAGTGCACAGATCTTCACAACCTTGGGACTCTAATTATGGAGTATGAGCTTCTGGAGACTTGAAATAACAGATTTGCCAGAATAGACTGTATTTGCAAAGCATCTGAAGAGGTAAACAAGCTTATGGATTTGTCCCAAAGCAGGTTTTTTTTTTAACCTAATCAAGGGAGCATATTGCAGAAAACCTGCATTTATCTAATTTAAAGGTCTTGGTTGTCTGAGGAGTAGTGTATGCATTGAACTATTGGATCATAATTTGCAACAAATTTTATCTGTTACATCAAACTGTATTCAGCTCTGATGCTGCTAAAATCAGTGCTTTTATTATTGTGCACATAAAAGTCTGTGATGATAAGATACTGAAAGCATTTCCAAAATCCAAACACCAAGTAGTCCAGGGGGAAAAAAACCAAACAACAAAACAAAACAAAAACCTCACAACAAACTGTAGAAAGAAACTCATCCAACTCACAACCAGCACCAAAGCCTGTCCTGGACAGATTTCTGAAAGAACTTTTAAAATGATGAAAAGCTCTGCGTGTTCAGAATGCTGATCATGTTCTGTGTGCTTGGCAGAGCTGTGTGGTGTCCTACTTGCCAGGGCGCTGTTGCTGGAGACAGGTCAGAGTTGGAAGGCTTTTCCCCTCAGGGGCTCCTCTCAGACTTGTGAGGCTCTGTGGAACCGTAGGGATCTGTCATGAAATGCCTTGTACAGGTGAACTTGTAGGACCTGGGCCCACTTGAGTAATGAGAGAAGTGAGAAGGAGATGGGAGGCAGAAGAGGCAAACTGCCAAACTGAGACACTCCCACACTGGAAAGAGAGATGTGTGTTTATAGATAATTTGTTATTATTATTGTCATGTTGTTGTACCTGTTTTGGTGCAAGAGACTAATCCTTAAGGTGCCTTAGTGTATTTGAATAAGGATGATTTAAATCAGTGGGTAAAATTCAAAGTGAAAGATCATTCAAACCCACAGTTTTGTCTAGATATTATTCCAGAGTGAGAGTGGGTTGTTTTGGGGTTTTTTTTTGGTTTGGGTTTTTTTGGGGGGTTTTGTGATGTGATTTATTTGGTAAGGAATAAATTTCATTCAGTCTTACTCTGTAAGTAGCTTCAAGTGTGGAGTAAAACTTTGTGTGGGAAGGTGAGATGATAACCCATGTGTGCAGTTTCAACTAAACAGTTTTGGAGTGCTGGGTGTTTTTAGAACAGTGTTACTAGATTATCCCTGGGATTCAACATTCATTAGAAGAAGACTTCATTAAAGAAGAGTGATGTCAGTTTGTTTCATTCTCCTGTTATGCTTGCTCTATAAAGATTTTGGCAGTAAGAACTCAGTGAATAAATACTGTTATTTACCTTGCTGACTTTAGATTTTTGTTGGTTTTCATACATGTTAAAAATTAATCAAACTGTTGAACATCCAAGTTGATACCCAAGGTACCTATTCAATGTTAAGGGCAACAGTGAAACTTAAATACACTAGAGCTAGAACTTTGAGGTCCATGCTCCGTTCGTGCTGGGTATGATCCTGTCAGTTCACTGCTGTAGCTCAGTTCTGGACGCAGGGAGTTCTTTTCCCTGGGATTTCAGCTTGGTTGGTCAGCTTGAGGGCTGGGGATTAGAGGGAGGCTGGTGAGACCTGTGCCCAGATGTGCCACAGAAACAGCACTTTCTTGTTAGCTCCTAGGTGGGAGAACACACCCTCTCATAGGTACAAAATTCTGTGAGAAATCGTGTTTCATGCATGCGCTGCATGGCTTAGGTATGACAATGTGGGGTTGTCTCTTTTTTGATAATGCTTCTAACAAAACATGGGCCTGGCCACAATACCTATAAATCAATACTTCAATATGTTGTTTTTCAGCACATAGAGCTCTGGAATTTTTCATTAAGCATGAAGGCAGTGTTAATTACAGACAGGTAGGAAGCATATTATTGCTTTATTGTGTACACCTTTCCTCTGAATGTTTTTCTGTCTTCTTGCCTTCCTTTATTATGTATTATTTATGTGTCAGCATTGTGCCCAGACTGTATTTTTACCTTTTATTTGTTGAAAATCATTTGACTCTTTCTGAGTACTATTACAAATACATAGCAATTATACCAATGTGTACATATATGCTTTGTGTCTTCTCTTGCATGTCTTCCTTTTTTAGTCATACTCCCTTGAGTAGTAGTGCTAGAAGAATCAGTAGAGGACTTTTGGAAAGCAGATTTAATAAACATAAGGACAGAAAAGTAACAGCAAGCTTTTGAATGTAGTTCACCACACACTGTATTTTACCAAGATAATAGTTGTATCTTGCTGGATACTTAAATTTTATCTTTGATATGGGTGGTAAAATGTATTTTCATGCTGTGCAATAGCATTCTAATTCCTTTTCCCCTGTCCTTTTCCCAGTTATTACTAAACCACCAAGATGCATTTCAGGCTGGGAGCATTTATCCTGATGCCTTTTATTCTCCAATCTGCAAACGTGGTAAGAAAAGCTTTGTAAGTCCAGTGTTGGAACAACTGTATTTTTCTGTGGAAATCCTGCAGAATTTATAGTAGGGTTGAAAATAGTTACATTGTAAGAAATTAAGTATGGCCAAAAATGCCTTCCTGCAAAAAGTACCCATCATTTTTGTTAGTATTTTCAGCCCTTTTATATAACTTCTTAAGCAAATAATGCATTTGAAAATGTTTTAAGAAAGTACCTTTAGGGTAAATTTAACTATTTAATGGGTAAGAAATTTGATAGAAGGATGATGTTTGACTAAATTAGGTCAGATTACCCAGTACTGTCTTGGCGAAAAACTGAGAGGACAAAATGACCTCTTTTTTCTAAGTCTTAGGGAAAGCCTAGTGCTGATTTCTATATTAGGAAGTACTAGTTTCTATCAGATCAGTCACAAAGAGGATAGGAGAATATCAAAACCCCACAATAACAAAATAGCATAGGACTTATGGCGGGGTTGGGAGGGGGAGGTAGGCAAGTGTTAGTAACATCCCAATTTAAAGCCTTTCTTTTCCAGAGTGCTGCATTTTGCCTTTTACTGATCCTGTTTGAAATTAATGACAGTCTTAGTTTTGCCGCTTGCAGATCTAAAGACTGCACTACAAAATTAACACACCATTGCAATGGCTGTAAAAAGTATGCCTTGACTTGCAAGTGGTCCCCTGATTTTTTAACTCTGGTAGGTCAGCTCTTGATCATATCAGCTTCTCTAGCAAAATCAGAGCTATAAAACAGCCAGCTAGGCCTTGCTGCAGGATATATGCTACTGAAATGCTAAATCTGGAGAATGAGCAAATTAGCAAATGGAACAAAGACAGCCTGTCCTCTAACAACAACCTATTAGGATGTTTAGGCAGATACCAGAGACAGGGCAGTGATAAGCAATTTTTGTGAGGATATCTGGCCAATTGATTGTTGAGATATTAGTAGAAGTCTAAAGTATGGGAAATGGCTTATTTTAGTAGGCAATGCAAATTCAGATCCCTTAAATTCAGTGTGTTCTTAGGATCTTTGTTTGGTTTCCCTCATCATATGCATGTTTTTTCAGCTAAGTGCCAGTGCCTTCACTTATCTCAGTATTTGGTTTTCCTGCCACAACTGCAAAATCCTCATTTGTCTTTCGAAGGACACTTTCCCCATCTTTTGTCATCACCTGCTCCTACTTAGAGTCAAATCACACGGTTGCAGCCAGACTTCTCATTGTTTCTCAGACACAGGTTGTCGATGCTGACTGTTGGTTATGCCTACTACAGGCTGTTTGGTTTATATCCTGATATGCATGTGCTCAGTTCGCATCTAGATCTCCCCTCTGCTCTGGCATTTAATACTGGTTTTGTCTCCTGTCGCTCACCAGGTCGCTGTTCCTGGTTTTCTGCCTGGATCTGCTAACATCTTCTCCCAAACTTCAGTTTCACTTGCCTTGTTTTCATGACTGATGTTCTCCTGGGATTTCTGCAATTCCTACCTCAACTTGGTTATTTCTATCTACCTGTTTCCCCACTAGCAGTTTTGACTTCTGCCTTATACCAGGTCAGTGGTCAGAGCCTCTCTCTCTGCAGTGTCCAGCCCACATTCCTTCATTAAAGCTGGGTCCATCTTGCCTTGTTTTGTAGTTGGATCACTTGTCAGCAGCCTCCTTAGTCAATGTGGAAGAAATAGGTACCTCTGCAGATCTGAGCTGTCTTAACTGAATGTCACTAGATCAAAAGTAAAGCCATGCAGACTGCCTTTCTGGGCAGGAAACAAACTTAGATGGAGAAGGCTACTCTGATTTTGGCCTTGCAAATCCCATCCTTATGTTTTCTAGTTTAGCTGCACTGTAAAATGTCAAGAGGCCAAGAGGTATCTGAATTACCCACAAGGTCTGCTCTTGGAGTGTTTAATATACCTTAATCTTCTGCAGTTTCACAGTGCTGTGTGAACAAACATGTACTCTTCCTCCAAACATATTGATGGTCCAAACCATCTCTCTCCTGTCTACCTTCTTTCCCCTTAGAGAATTTTACATTGTGCTGCTTGGTCTTGTTATGTCAGCATCACTTTGCACATAACTTTATGTAGGTACACAGAAATTTTTAGGCAAGATCACTGTTAGATCCTACATAATCTTTTCTGCCTGAGTCCAAGTAAGAGTAATAATTGATTCTTCAAATTAAACATAATTTTTCCTGCTTTCCTCTGCCCTTTTTCTGCTCCTACACTGCCTATATTTTTGCAAGTTTGCCTTTCTATTGAAAATTATGATGATGATGACATAGCCCTTCTCTGCCCTATGGAAACTGATACCCATCCCAAAACATGGTATTTTGAGTTGATGCCATGCCCATCAGCTCTTTAATACAAGTGGATGTATTAATTTAGTCAACAGCTTCTCTGTCAGCTCTCTTATCCCCTCTGTTTGGGAGCTTTTCATTGTACTGTACCTACTCACAGGCACAAAGGAAGGGAGCAGGCACAAAATTCTCAGATGTTCCAAACCAAAATCATAGAAGATAAATTTAGTATCAGTTTTGATAGTATAAATCTTATAAAAATGAGTCTCATTTGGCTCTTTAATGGATGCAAAATGTATCACTTGTATGCTGTGAAATTGAAGAAGTCTGGTTTTTTTATAGAGAAAGTCTGGTTTTTTTATAGAGAAAATCTTTTATTTTCCTTTTTTTTCTTTTTCATTTTTCCCCAAAGAGCAAATCAAATAGTGATATAATTTTGTTGCAATAGGAATATTCCATGGTGTGTCTGAAGACACTCATTGGTCACCATTTCTCAAAGCAAGTATTGACTACATCAGAAGGAATTATCCTCAGCCTTGGGAAGGGGTAAGAAAATTTCATTAGCTTTTGACTTCGCTTTCAACTGTTTTCTTCGCCTTCACTTGTTGAAATTTCATACTTTGTGAAGTGTAGAAAAAACCTCATATTTTTATATTAAAATATCTGCTGATACAGAAACATTTGAAATCCTGTTTTCTTCTTTACCACACAAAAAAAGTTATGGTTTCCATATAACGTCTATCAATTATCTCCACTGCGGTCTGGTACTTATGATACATTTCATAGGTCCAAATTTTCAAATGTGATTGGTGGTCTTGCATTCCTGTCAGATCTCATTGAGGGTTTGCCATTTGAAAACCAGACATCTTTTAGAATTCTCACTGGTGAAATCTTGGACTTAGTCCTGATTTGCTCTCATTTATGGTCTATGAGCTACATAGGAAGAGAGAAAAAACATTTTGTCAAAAGTGAGAGTGCACAGGAACGTCTTTCTCTCCTCTGTGTGACTGCACAACACCCATGGTGGCAGAGAGGAAGTGTTTATTCCCAGTTCATAAAAACACTTTAGTACACATTTAACTTGAAATGCACAATTTATCCTGACATCCACCATGGAATTCTGTGGCCTTCTCAAGTCACAAAGAGTAACTCCAGCATCAAGGAATGAGTAGTCAACACTTCGTTATACTAAGTTCTTGAATTGTAAGAGTTTCTCACCTATATCCTTGTATAATCCACTTAAATAAAATGCTTACCTGTTCTTAAAGACAGCAGTAAAATTACTGATGTTACTACAAATGGATTGTTGTTGTGTAGGCTACAGAGAAGCTGGTGGCTTTCCTGTTTGGAATTGCCTCACATATGGTGGCAGATATTAGCTGGCATAGCCTGGGCATCGATCAAGGATTTCTAAAGGCCATGGGAGAAGTAAGCCTGTATTATTTTATTTATTGATACAACTGGGTTTATTGGAATGGATAGCTTTGCTTTGGACTGTGGTGGGGAGTGAAGAGAAATGCTGGAGCCCTGTTTGAGGAAGATTTTCAGAGAGATGCAAGGTCACAAACTTCATAAGAATGAAGTTGTTCAGGTTTGGGACCTAAGGATTTCTAAAGGCCATGGGAGAAGTAAGCCTGTATTATTTTATTTATTGATACAACTGGGTTTATTGGAATGGATAGCTTTGCTTTGGACTGTGGTGGGGAGTGAAGAGAAATGCTGGAGCCCTGTTTGAGGAAGATTTTCAGAGAGATGCAAGGTCACAAACTTCATAAGAATGAAGTTGTTCAGGTTTGGGACCTATAAACATTAGGGATGCTAATTTTCTCTAGGTCACAAACTTCATAAGAATGAAGTTCAGGTTTGGGACCTGTAAACATTAGGGATGCTTGGACAATTTTCTCTGCTCATATTAAAAGAAACAAGCAGTTCTCTTGTTTTTTTCTTTCTCTAGATTGATTTTCATGGTTCATACTCAGAAGCTCACAGTGCTGGCGATTTTGGTAACGTTTCTGTTTGCCAATCATAGATTGTTCTATTGGAATAGCTAGTTCTCTTCAAAACCACCGTGGGTGATTCTGGCTCTTACCCTGTGCAGTGCAGGAGCCAAGAATGGATAGTGTATTCTCACCCTCCCCCATACTTGCAAAAGCCCTGCTATACCTGTCCTCATGCTCCATGTTGCAGGAGATGTTATAGGGAATATGGACATTTGGATTAAAGCCAAAATTCTGACCAAAGAATGCTAATGTTTAAATGGAGTCACTACTGTGATTTTAAATTGTACATTGTTCTTATTCTCTGGTGGTATAAAATGTGCAGCATACTTGCAGGTAAACCATTTGTGTATTCTAAATATACAGCTGGAAGATCTGCAATATAAATACAGATAGCATAGTCATCCATGCTGTTATCCATGAGAGATACTTAACAGGTTTGTTTTGTTGGACTTTGTGGGGTTTTTTTCATTCTTCCATCCTCAGGAGGAGATGTAGTGAGTCAGTTTGAGCTGGACTTCAGTTATCTGGCATCGAATTGGTAAGATAATGAGGTTGCCTTCTTTAATGTTTATTTCTGCTTCTTCTATATAATGACTGTGCTTTGACAAAATGCTGTCCTTCTTTATTTTACTTCTTTAATGTTTATTTCTGCTTCTTCCATATAATGACTGTGCTTTGGCAAAATGCTGTCCTTCTTTATTTTACTTTCGAAAGAAACCCTTGCAGCTATTTGAATTTTTCTGAATTTTCCTTATAAGCATATTTACTGTTCCCTGACATGAAAAACTGGAAAGACAGAAGAAAAAGAGAGTTTTGTGTGTAGGAATGTAGCAAGAAAGATGAAATTGTCTCTAGACAGAAGAAAAAGAGAGTTTTGTGTGTCGGAATGTAGCAAGAAAGATGAAATTATTTGTCTCTGAAGGGAATTATAAGTAGTTATATATAAAATAACCAGTGAAAAGGTTTTACTGGAATGTCCTAACTGTTAGTTAAATAACACAGTTAATTGGAAATCTAAGTGACATTTATTTAAAAGTGCTGGAAGTTGAAGATGTTTACTGTACACAGGTTTTAAAAGCATAAAAATGGGTAAAAGATTTAGACAGAAGATTCTGTCTTTCAGCAGAAGATTCAGACCCTTTTTTTCTGTGCTGGAAGTTGAAGATGTTTACTGTATACAGGTTTTAAAAGCATAAAAACAGGTAGAAGATTTAGACAGAAGATTCCATCTTTTTAGCAGAAGATTCAGACCCTTTTTTTTTCACAATTTTTAACTGAAGTAAAAAACTCATGTCTTTTTTTCTGCCAATAAAGTTTGAGTCATTTTGTTTAAGCAGGATGTAGTTCACCTAGGTGTAGAAGGCACAGTTCACTAATAAAACCGTGGGACAACTGTGGGAAATGTCTATTTGGCTAGGGGTAGATTTGGCACAGTGGAAAGCAACTGTGGGAAATGTCTATTTGGCTAGGAGTGGATTTGGCACAGTGGAAAGTTGGAGGACATCCTCCAAGATAATGTGATCACCAAGCAAGAGAACCAGTGTGGAAAGTGTGGAAGCTCTACCAGCCGTAGCCATAGGGGAATGGTTCGACAGGATTCTGACTTTGAACCTCAACAAGAGGAGAGTGTTGTGCAGAGAGTAACTGCACATGCAATCCTGGTCATTCTGGTATTTGTAAATCTTCATGACCCTATGTAGTAGTCTGAAATTTAGAATATTTTATAGCAGACTATTGTTATTACAGAAACTGTAATCTTTTATCAGGTGATATGGAAAATCTGTTGTTACAATACCTTCTTAGAAACTGTAATCTTTTATCAGGTGATACGGAAAATCTGTTGTTACAACACCTTCTTCCTGTTTTCAGGTATGTACCTGTCAAAGACCTAGCATCTATCTATAAGGAATTTTATGGAGAAGAGATCATAACTGAAAGCACAATTACTGACTGTACTTACCTGCTGTTTCTTGAACTGTAAGTTGAATAGCTTTGTCTGGGTTTTCCTAAGTGAAACATATGTGGGAAAATTATGATAATCATATTTGAAACACCTTGTGCATTGAGGTCAGCAATATAGGCTCCCTACTATACCCCGAAATCATAAAACACTGGAATTATTTTAATGCTAGAATTCAAATTTGGACTGCTTAATGACTGTAAAATTATTACACCACAGATGCTGAATCTTGGCTGTTTAACACATTTATGCATTTAACATATTTATGCCTGTTTATTTGAGAACAGCTGTGTCTTCAAGTACCACTGCATTGTGGTGTATTAGCAATATAATTTTTGTGTATTGAAGGAGTAATGTACATACCTAAACAGACAGGTTGTCTTATGTAGATCCTTTCAAGAATAATTCAAAGGAGTCCTTAGCTCTCTGGCAGTGTTTGCTTTTGAATATCCTGAAGAGCCAAGCTGTATCCTTTATTTCAGTTAATTACCAATAGTCACACAGCATTTGCAAAAACTGTGAATCCCTCCAAATTAAGGGCAACAACAAAGTTTAGATTATTGCTTTTTGCATTATATCATTAGTGTTACAACTTTAAAATACATATTAACAACCGACAAGGAAATGTAATGACTTGCATAGTATTTACCATACAGGTAGCCTTGAAACATACAAGCAGCCTTGAAAAGAACTGTTTAAATAATTAAATATAAAATGAGGCAAGTTTTATTTCTGAAGATTTTTTTTTCAGGCATGGAGAAAGGCTTGCTGTTGGCAAGGTTGGTTGTCTGTTTTCCTCATAAATATGAACACATAACGTGGAGACAATGTAATTCATCTTAATAAGCATGTTGCCTGCCTCAGCTTTTTCCAACATATGCTAGTAAATCTCCATTTCTGGTGGAGAATTTACATGAATATTTCCTTGGAGGAGTGGATGACATGGCGTTCTGGACAAACAATATTTTTGAGCTGACGAGCCACATGCTAGAGAATGGAACCAGGTATAGTATGTTTCTGGCAACACATTAATCAAGTTCTGACACCCATTTAGTTGTCCCTCTGAAGGCAGGTTCTTTCCTAGAAGAGGTGCTGATCCTCACTTGGACAAAGGGATTTCCTTGGCTGTCTTTCACGCAGGTACACAGGGTTACATAGGCCTAGAGTTTGCATTTATTAGGTGTTCACATTCCTTTGCCCAGGCAAGCCTCTGTTGCATTTATTAGGTGTTCACATTCCTTCGCCCAGGCAGGCCTTTAGCATGCCCAGATGATACTCAGCAGGGAGAATTTGGGGCATTCTTTGAGACATACTGAAGGGCCTGCTTAAATGTTGTATAGCCATGCCCTGAGGCTCTGCCTGGCCTGGCAATCTGAAGCTGCACTTTCTGGATGCTGTCGTCAGTCAGCAAAGATGTCCCTTCCGAGGGGAGATCAGATGTTACCTTCAGATGCTTAAGGCAAATTGGATTGGAAAGAGTAGGAGTATATATTCTAGAGTTGGAAGCTCAGGCTTCTACTCATAATTTCATGCTTTTATAAAAGTTCTAGCCTTGTACTGTTCACTTACAAATGTAACCTTACTGTAAATAGCTTTATAAGACCAAGAGTGGCAATTAAGCCATGCATTTATATGGAAAATACCACTGCAGCTATTTTGGGAAATTATGTTTGAAATACAGTATGGCATAATCTGTTATGTTCTTTGTTCCAGAATGACACTTTCATTAAAAGTGCTTTAGATTCCTAGAAATAGCAGGGCACGTTACAGTAAGTTTCCTTTAAGAGTTATATAAATACCTGTTAGATTCATATAGAACCTAATCAAGGTCATCAAAATAAATATCAGAGGGTTTTCTAAGGATTACAATGATGCTCTGATTTTGAGTTTCTTGGGAAAACTTATGACTTCTAACAGAGGAATCAGTAAAGGTAAAAGCTGTATTTTTAGTTTCACTTCCATTGCAGGAAAATCTTTAAAGCGCATTCTGCAAATTTTTCTTTAGTGGCTGCTACCTGCCTGAGAACCCTCTGTTTATAAACTGCAAAGAGGAGCACAAGGACAACCACATGTAAGTATAGCTCTGAAGGTTCAAAGGTTTAATGAAGAGAGTCTTCTGCTAATGTGGACAGTGAGCTACTGAAAATCAGAGATAACTTGGTTTATCTTTTTGTGTGTGAATTTGAGATTCTCTTAGCATGAGTAGTAAGCTTTGTGTAGGGGAACTGTGCAGAATCTAAGAGAGACATCAAGTCATTAATTCAGTTATAATAATTCTTATTACTGTCTTCTTTATTTTAGCAGAAACAAGCAATCAAAACATGGACATCACAAGAACAGAACTTCTTTGCTTACAGAAACGCTTGAGAAAAATATAAACTATACAGAGAGAGGAGTTCACTTCAACATACAGTCTTGGGCAACAGTAAGTGAGAAGTGACAGATGAGTCAAGTAAAATTCAGCTGTGTGTAAAATTGTTTTCATTTCTGTCTGAAATGCTGCATGATGGAGCAGGGTCTCTGAATGTTAACAGTAGCCTCTGACTTCACTATTGTTAGTCTCTATATGTACATCATAAATACTCAATTTTTACAGTTTTCTCATTGTACAGTGAAGTTAGAACACATCCTGTAGTGTCAAAAATGTCAAAATATATCTTTAGTATTTACATTTTACAGAATCATATGATCACTTTTCTGAGTTAAGAAGTCCCAGCAAAGCATAGCAGTGAACGATTAGCAGTACTTCGTTTAGAACATACAATATTTTGTCACTTTCTAAAATGGTGCTTATGACCTGAGTCAGAGTCCTCTTAGATCCATGTGGTGATTTCCACTGTTGGTGACTTGGTTTTTGAGGTGCCTCAAAGTGTTCTAGAGTTTTGGCCTGTGTTTTAACTAGTCTTGTGTCTCTTTATTATTTTTATTTTAGAATTCCCTCCGCTTGATAAACCGTATTGTCTGGAGAGCATTGGCAGCTACACAGCAGAAATCTTCTAAGAACATCTTCAAGCCAGCAGCTTCGTATTTTCTGACTTCTCCCTATGCTAGACTTGGATGGTTGGTAACTTTTTTCCTCCCACCTCCCTCTTAATTTCTGAAAGTTTTGAGTATCCACCAAAATATTATTGTTTATTTTTTGTATATTCTTTAAAGGTGACAGTCCAAGTCAATTAGTGCTACAAATCTGGCAGAATGGCTTATATTGTCTGTCCAGACCAGCAAGTTAACCCATACAATTTTCAGATGTTGGCATAAGCCTTTTTGTGTCAGACCTGAATAAAAGTGCATGAAGAGCAAAATTTTCATTCAGATGTGAATTCTAGTCAGATCACTTCTTGTTTTAGAAGGGTTGTCTTGTCTTTTTTACATTCTGTCCCTAGAGAAGGAACCCAGTGCTCTGCAAGTGATAAAACTCAGAATGGAAGGAACCAAAATTGGAATCAACATCAGCTCTGATTCTGAACAGCATAGGAACATTGTTACCCTATTCTGGTTCTTGGTTGATGTTTGTGCAAAATTAAGTTTCTGTCATGAGATGATTACTGATAATGCCTACTAATTGTTCTTGGAACTACTCAAGACTAGTGAGAAGTTCAGAGAGAGATTCAGGACAGATAGAGGCATATTCTCTCTCCTTGCCAGGTAGGTTCTAGCTTGACCTGCAACAGGGAAGAGTAATAAAGTAAATTTGCATTGCTGCTCATCTTGCTTCACTTACTCTGACTGAAAATTTGGGTTTAGTTCTTGAGTTTACTTCACACCAAACAAATTAATGGTAGTTAGTTCTTTTTTTCTCCACATTCCCCTCTAACTCCCAACATGTTGTTGTGATCTGTGATCCTTTTGCTTATCTCCTGTTAAGTCCATCAGTTAAATCAGAGGTTCAGTTTAAAAGAGGCTCAATTTCATCTTTTGTATTCTGTGTCATATGCAAGCAGCCCTTTCTCATGTTCCTTGCTCTGATTGGTCTCAGATGCCTTATGTCAGTAATAAGCAATTCCTGCAGATCTCAGATTCATTAATGGAAGATGAACCTTCATGTCTCTGTTTTTATTTAATTCAAGGAAACAAAAATAAAACGTAGTATAAAAAAACCACTGCATAGATTTTTACAAAACTATATGGAGAAACACAGGTCTTGGTTTACCTGAATTAAAATTATTTATTTTCGCTAATGTTGTGGTTGTCTGGAAGTTAATGCTGATTCTGTTGACTCCCTTGCTGTACAGGGCAATGATCTCAGCTGACCTAAACCAGGATGGATATGAAGATCTGGTGGTTGGAGCACCAGGGTACAGCACCATGGGCCATGTTCAGATAGGACGGGTGTATGTGGTCTATGGCAACCAGTCAGGTTTGCCACCAGAGGACATGGATCTGGATAGGAAAGCTGACCAAGTACTACAGGGTCATCAGGTGAGAGATCAAATCAGGTATTTGTCACTTGAACTTTTTTTGGCCTGAAAGTGTGGTAAATTTTGACTGAGCAATGGTATCATTAATGTGTATTAGTATTATTCCTGAAATACTCCTCCTGATTATAGGATGTCAAATGTTTTTCAAGAAAAATAACTGTTACTGAAGTCACAGGTACAATTAAAGCAATGGTGATTTGTAGGTTCACTTTTATTACTGTGCCAGATAAGTGAATATTAGAACATAAGGTGCCCTTGAATAAAACAGAGGTAGTGTGTCTGTAAGTCACAGTATAGCTCATTTGGGTGCCTGCATTCAAGAAAATATGGTGATTTTCCCTTCCTTTTTAATCTAAAATTAGTAATTATATATGTTTCAATTCCTTTGAAATGACTTTTTTCATTAGTTAATAACTTCTCTCAAAACCATTGTTCATCTACTAAGAGTACACATTAAAAAGAGAGAAAACTGCACTACATGACAGTGGTAGGCTTGTAACTGAGAAGCATGAACAAATGACCCTCTTGAGCAAGAAATATGAACCCATGTAGAAAATGCCTTTATTCATAAAGAAGAGAATAGAGAGAAATGAGATACATTTCCTTTTAATCTGTTTCTGTGGTTATAAACTGTGGAGTAACAGCTTTTGTCTTCTTAGTGTTTTAGTGGTTCACAGCTTAATGTCATCAACAGCAAAGATCATGAGCTTAACATCAATGGTGCACTGGGCTCAGAAGAGGAAATAGCAAAATAGCACCATATTGTGTTATCTTTTATTTTAACACCTCCATATCCCCAAACAGAACAGCTGACTCTGAGTTAGTGTATTGGTATGATGGTTATTACTTGGGAGAACAAGAATTGTTGGGATAGATTTTTGTCATCTGTTTCCATTTCTTCCCTGTGCAAATGTGCATTAGGTTTTGATAGTTTTGTCTTGAGAAAGTCTGCTATTTTCATGACAGCAATCCCTTTTCTTTTAGCTTTCAGGAAGATTTGGTTCTGCCTTGGCAGTCCTGGACTTCAATGAGGATGGAGTGCCAGACCTAGCAATTGGAGCACCTTCTGTGGGATCTCAGTTTCTTACTTACAAAGTAAGCCACACACATGGAGTTGTTGTTACTGTTGTTTTTTTATCCATACAGAACATTTCTATTGATACATATTTTTTGAACAGTGAGAGGAAAGAGAGAATTTCTGTTGTTGGTCAAGGTGATGTTGTAATTTAAACACAGCAGTTTATAACCTTTGTGGGTACTTTGACCAGAGCAGTGACAGCTATCTGTATTTATCTTTCAGTGGCCTTTTTTGCACATTAAAAATCTAAATCAGATTGTGATTTTGCAGCACTGATGTGCTGGGGGGCCATTCATGAAATACAAGTGTACCCTTTTTAAATAGGAATAGAGAGTCTGGAGCCTTGTCTTCTGCTGTCATAGGCCAACAGATGGTACCTAAAATGTGATATGAACACAGACACACTTGCTAAAATAATCAAGTTACAGAGGTTTAATAACTTGCAGCTTACCAGATAAGCCCGTGTAATGGTTCCTGAGTGTTTTCAGCTCATCCAAAATGAGAGGTAAAAAGTTTTGGTTTAAACCATATCCATTAAGCTTAAAACTCTTCAGAATTTCATATACTAACTTAGCTGTCTAAATAAAAAAATTAAATGGTTTTACATAGACCCACTAGCTTAGAAAACTTCATGCTTCTGTTGTGCTTGGTGCTGTTTGCCATTGCATTAAATAATAGTTAGCAAAATTAGACCCACTTGAATGTGTGTATAACAAATATAAATATACAGTGTACTGTCTTTGCTCCTTACCCCCAGCATGATGAAAATGTACTTCTCTAGTTTGTTGCTTGGTTACAGCAGTACTCATTACATCACGGGTATTCTGAGGTTTGGGGTGAAAAAGACAGTATTGTGAGAAGGCTCTGAGAGGAAAAATGCAGTTGTATTAATAGCCCTTGCAGAACTGTTTCACGTCTTGTGATTTGCCTTGGATTTTGTACTCGGTACTGACATGCAGGTGCTCTCATGCTGTACTTGCTTTTCCCACTGTTTAGGGTGCTGTGTATGTCTACTTCGGCACTGAGGGAAGAGGCTTGGCATCTCAGCCAAATGTTACCATAACTTGTCAGGTATATTGATAACATATAATATCCTGTATATACTATCCTGTTAGCCAGGCTAACACAGGGTTACACAAACAGGAGGTAAGATAAAGGAGGAAAAAACAAAGAACATTAACATCAAACCTGTAATTGCGAGGGAATTAAGACTGATGGGGATGGTGTAAACAGGTGCTTGCCTAGGTTGGTTGTATGTGGAAAAGACTTTTGTCCCCCAGTGCAGGGGAGGGAGTAGGGTGATCAGAAAGATGCATAGCCCTCAAAAAGCACCAAACCCAAAGAAAACAAAATTTCAGCCAGGGAGTAGGAGGGTGATTTGGTCAGAAGCAAAGTTAGCTCTTTAGAAGCAAGTTGCTCTATTTTACTGCAGAATTGGTGGTTTCAGTTCCATTTCAGGCTTAAACTAACTGTTTATTTCAGTATTCCTACTGTAATCTTGGTTGGTCCCTCCTGGCAGCTGATGTTGATGGGGATGGAAATGCTGATCTGGTGGTGGGCTCTCCATATGCACCTGGTGGTGGGCAGCAGAGAGGATTTGTGGTTGCATTTTACTCTTATTTCAACAGGAGTGACCAAGGTAATATTTATTGAGTAAATTAACCCTCCCATATTTTATGTGATTGTTCATTAGTTCCTCATTAACTATGGGATAATTCAGTTTAAAAGGGATCTCAGGGACTGTCTAATCCAGGGAACAGCTGTGAAGACGGACCAGATTGCGCAGGGCTTTATTCAGGCAGGTCTTACAAACTTCCTATGGTAGAGATTGCACAGCCAGGTAACTGTTCCACTTCTTGGCTGTCCTCATATGGAAAAAGTTGTCTTGTTACATCCAGTGTGAACCTGTCTTGTTTCAGCTTATGCTAACTGTATATTGTCCTCCCACCATGCATGGAGTACCCCTGCTAAATTTGCTCCAGTTAATCAGCATCTTTCCTGTTACTGTACAAGGTGTGGTCTAGGAAGGAGTAAAGTGGAAACAATCACTTCTCAGTCTCTTTGCCATGCTTCTGCTTATGTAGCCTGGGACACTGTTGGCTGTCAGAGCCTCACACTCAGCTCTCTACTCACCAGGATTTCCAGGGTCTTTTCCACATGGTTACTCCCCAGACAGCCTGTCCCCAGCCTGTATCCCAGCAAGGGCATCTCTTTTCCCAGGGTCAGGCTTTCCATTGGTCCTCACTGAATTTTGTGAGATTCCTGTCAGCCTGTTCCTGCAGCCTGTTTGGGTCCCTCTGAATGGTAGTCCCCTGCAATCTCCTGTCATCTGCCAGCTTCATGAAAGGGCATGTTGCTACCTTCTCCAAATCTTTTATAATAAAGTGTTTAACAGGATGAGTCTAAGGACACATCCTTGAAGGCATTCCACTTGTCACAGGCATTCAGAGTACAAATCACTATCCACTGCCCTATGAGGGTGATCATCTCTACCAGGTTTTTCCCATCTGGTTGTCCACCCATCCAGACAGCAATGACCCAGCTTGGATCCAAGAACATTGTGGGAAGCTGTTGAAAGACTCACTTAAGCAATTGATTCCACTGTGTATTGTGAGTCCAGGGCAGACTCACTGCTCCTCATTAGAAAATTTTAAATATACTTCAAAAGATGAATCTTTATCATTCTGTATACTCCTTAATGTGGCTAAACAGGAATGCTACAAGTGAACATAGTTAATGAGTACAGATGATGAGGACTGTTGTGAATGAGGAAGGAGAGGCACATATGGAGCTAAATGAAGTTAGCAGCAGTTGAGCACGGTACACAGGTATTCAGGGCTCAGAATTATTTGAAGCTCCCCCACCCATCACCCTCGGAGAATTACAAGTTCTGATAAACAGTCACTGGTTTAGGGCAGGCTTGGCTGGTAGCTTTCATGTACTTTGTGTAGGTTATTGGAAGGATTGAGAAACAGGCTGTGTCAAATAAAGGCTTTCACAAGCCAGTACAGCTGCAGACTGAGAAAGTGAAGTCAGCAATTACTGGTGCCATATCGTGGACACTGTAACTTTTCATAGAGAAACTTGTCAGTGGAGGATTGCTAATGAATTTTTCATACCAGGGTGTACTAAGATTTAATTCATATTTTTCTGGTCTCTCAGGAACTCTGTCAGTACAGGATGCCAACTGGATGGTGGAGGGGGAAGAAAACTATGCTTGGTTTGGATTTTCGCTTGACAGCTGCCAGCTGGAGAACATAACATTACTACTGATTGGTAGCCCTACATGGAAGAGTTGTGCTAGGTGTGTTGTATGTGACAGCTTGTTCTTTCCTCCATTCTGCTCTATTTCTACAGGGTTTAAGATTTGTAATAGTTGAGGCTTCCAGCTTTTCAGGAAGTTTCCTCTTTATCCTGCTTAGAATATTTTTTGCAAGCTCATATTTTTATGCCTTCACCCTTCTTTATGAAGACAGGTGTCTTTGGATCCTCTGTAGAGGAGGTCTGTTATTTAGAGACACTTCAAAATTTCTTGGGTCTTCCTGGGGAGGGGGAGAGAGGCCACAAGAATGCTGACAGGTTAGCATGCCTTGAATAATGGTATAGATAGCTCTTACTTTGAGATAGCATTTTTAAAAGTAAACCAAACACAAAAGTGTATTGGATGATAAAGAAGTGGATAGACAGTCCAAGACTGTGCTCTAGATGTTGTGTAACTAGTTAGAATAACTATGGGGATTACTAAAACAGATTTCTAGAATTTGGCAGGCGATATTATTCCAAAGTAAAAGGGGAAAATACTTTAAGAGCAGCAATCCTAGCTGAATGTACACAAATACGTTCTTACATACAAATATATTTTGCATTGTATTTCAAGCTGCAATCCCTTCTCGTCAGATGTCAGACAGAGTGTTGGGAAGGTGTACGGGTATAACCCACCGAGCACAGAGCGCTGGTTTGCGGTAACTGGAGAGAAGGTAGGGCTCCTTCTTTAGTATGGGACCTTAGGAATAATTTGAAGTGACATTCTGTAGAAATTATATAGCTCTTTTAAAATCTAACAGGAGATGGGCAGAATGGGTTTGTCTCTGGCCAGTGGTGTGATGTCTGTGGCGGGGACTGCAAGGAGAGTTTTGGTGGTGGGTGCACCTACTGCAGGTATGTCCTGGAAATTGGAAACCATTTCTGCTTTAGAATGTTTGTTTCTGTATAAGCAGAGGACAGATACAACTTTTAAGTTAGAAAAGGGACCTTTAAATTGCCATGTAATTAAAAAAATATTAGAAATACTTACTGTTATCACCTATAAGTACCTTACATGTAGAGTCCTCTCTACTATGCCTCAGCTTCAATGTGTTGTTTTCCTTCCTTAAAATTGGCTTAACAGAATTACTACCTTGGATTATTTATGTAGCAGTGATTTGCTAATAGACTGCCTATTTCTTGGAATTAAAACAACACAGTGTTTTGTCCTCAATCTGGCAGTAAACTAAGGAATTGGGAAAGTCAAAATGTAGAAGTCTAACTTGAATGCACTTCTCCTCTGGTACTATGGCTAAGAGGTTTTTTTCCTATGCTGATGAGTGTTAATCGTGTATAATGGTTGAACTTATTTCATGAATTTTATTAATTTTCTCCATTTTATATAATGCCAGTATTACCTCCTGTTAATATACTTTAAGTATTAAAACTGAGTTCTGTGTCTGGTGCTCAAATTCTGTTACTTCTTTTTCTCCCAGACAGTCTGTCTAGGATGTCATTTATGTCCTCAGTGCTGCATCAAGCTGGACTGGCTCTGGTATATGACCTGACAGACAGCACCAAGCCTGCTTTGCTCAGCACATTCAGTGGGGACAGGAGGTTTTCTCGATTTGGAGGAGATGTATACTTAAGTGATCTGGATAATGATGGACTAGGTAAATCTTGATTAATCTAGATCAGAGGAGAAGTGTTTAACTTTTGGCAACAGGAAGACTGGTCACCTACATATTCATACAAGTGCTAAACGGTCTACTTCCCCAACTGACTTGTACCAGTATTGCCTCACACCTTGTAGGGAGGCCTCTCTAAAACCCTAAGTCACTCAGCCAGAAACTGAAACATTTTAATTGCCATCATTAATAGTAATTGTGGCATCTAGAGGTATGTAAATGCTGTTCTCTTGTGTTTTGGTTTAGCATGAATTCACTTCTGATGCGTTACGTGATCTTTGTAATATCTGCAGATGAAATGATTGTGACATCCCCACTGCGAACCAACGGCATCATGATGCTGTTTGGTGGGGCAGCTGGACGTGTTTACATTTACAATGGAAAGCAGGCATCCTGGGGGAATGTGACAGGCCACTGCAAATCGTGGGTATCTCCCTGTCCTGAGGACTGGGTAAGAATACACAAGAGTGAAATCAGAACATGAGTTTATAATGACAGCTAATTAATTATATCTAGTAAAAAAAATATAGTGCATTCTGACTTGGTTCCAGGAAACAGGCTTCCTCATGTTTCTGATTCTCTGTGATTTGTTTCCTCCTGTTCATTCTTTGCTTTTTAGGAGCCAGGGTTATCATACTGGTCTTCTACTCTCCTAGGGTAGTTCTTTCTGCTGACTTTTCTCTTTCTTTTTCTTCTTCAGGCACAGTATGTCCTGATTTCTCCTGAGGTAAGTAACCAGAAAAGAAACTACTGAGAGAAACTAAAAAGACCTACTTAAAAAAAAAACTAGCAGCATTATAACAGGCAATGTTATTTTACAGGAACAATCAAGATTTGGGAGTTCTGTTATCACTGTGAAATCTGAAAGAAAGGTGAGAAAAATTTACTGTTGTTGGTTTCTTCATAACACCTACCTCACTTGCATATATATACTAGCTAGCACCTCACACATATCTTACTTATTTGCAGAAGTCTTAAGTGCTTTACATAGTTAATTAAGTCACTCTTTGAACTGATAATTAAAACCATTTTATAGGTGGATGACTGATGGAGCTGCCAAAATTTTGGCACCTGAATTGAAAGGCATCCCTTTAAAATGGACTGAACTCTAAACTGCTTAGGAGTTTGCTGAGAGGTTGGTAAATGGAGTAGAGGTGCCAACTGGCTTTACTACTGTTCATGCTAGCCTGTAAGCAGAGTGGATGCTCAGCCATGGAGCAAACCAGGCAGCCAACCATCCCTCTCATTTAGTCTTTACAGGCTTGCTGTCCTGGCTATTATTTGCAGTGAACACTGTTCGTATGTCAAGTGCTTCCAAGCATAGAAAGGTCCAGTTCTTAACCTGAATGATTTTGGATGTGGATGTGTTATGTTTCTCTTTGTTTCCCTCAGATGTCCATTATTTTTACCAAGCGTCAAATCCTAAGTTTGTATGATGCACTGAGGAACCTTGTTTTCAGGTTGAAGGTTACTTAGTGCTTGGTTCAGCTGAGGGAGATCCAATGTTCTGCTTGCTCAGACATCACCTCTGTGATCACTGGGGTTCTTTGTCTGAGTACTGAGGAAGCATCAGTACTAGCCTGAGGAAGTGTGCAACAGTCTCCAACAAATGGTGTTTGACTTCTTGCTGTTAAAACATAAAATGGAGAAACACCTGGAAATGTAAATTCTTCTCAGCTAGGTTAAGGTTCATGAATCCAACACCTGAAACACAAGCAGTGTTTTTGCACAAGTGAGGCTGTTCTCCAAGCAGTTGTGTTCCTTTGCTATGGCACCAATCAGCTTCACCTGTATTGATCTTAGCCCTGAGAAACAGTTTATGTTGGCAAGGACTTTTTTCATGGAGCTTCTTCCAGTTCCCCAAATGAAAAAAAAGTCTGTTTCCCAAATAGTTTTCTTAACTCCTATTCTGATGAGGTGGTTTGCTCTCTTGTTTCTCCTCATCACATTTTGACATGACACCAATGAGATGGACTAAATCTGGTTTCCATTAGGGAAGCTTAAGGCAGTCACACGCCTCCAGCTGCGTTTTGCTAACCCTCACTCTGTATCTCTGCAGAAAGAAGTTGTAGTGGCAGCAGAGAGAAGTTCTGCGAAAGCTCGACTTGGTGGAAGGCTTTTTGTCTACTCGCTGTAAAAGTTCACAGTAGCCTTTAAGACCAGGGCACAGCTGGTCTTTTAGTGAAGAATCTCTGTAGTATCTGTGATACTACACAAAGCAACAGACCACACATCAGCAAGCTTTTGCAAAATTCTGTTGTGGGCAGCAGCAGCACTTAACCCTAGAACAAGCAAGCTGGTCTGAAAACCTTTGAGAGGCTGAAATGAGCAGACAGCTAGATTTTTAGTAGCAGTATTTGACTGTGTAAGTAATGTTCAATGGTCACCTTATTTAATGGTCAGATTTGAGTATTTTCTTGACAAAACTGGGAAAGAATAGCACAGAATTTACAACTTCTTGTATACTGTGCTAAAGACAGGGATTCTAAGCTATGGAAAGTTACTGCCAAAATAATAAGCATGGAGGAGGGGCAGCCGTAAATCTGACAGAAAGGTGGGTGCCAATTAAAGGACTGTCTCTGTCTGTATCAAGCCTTGAGGCCTGCATTAAGGGTGGAGAACAGCTGGGATCTCCCAGGGAGAAAAGCACAAACAAGACTGATTTTTAGGAAATGCTATTGCTTTCATACTTGTGGCTGAGACTACTCTGACGCCCGTTGAGCTTTCATGTAAAATTCCACAACCATGGTAACTTAGAATTGTTAATAGCTTTTATTGTTAACAGTATTGTCTTCAACTAATTAACAGTAGTTTTGTATGATGCAGGTTTAACCAGAGTGTGCATCAATTATCTATTAAACAACTTGAGCAGCAAAATGTGATGATGCTATTATTACCAAATGCGAGTCCGTAGACCCATATGTGTAGGTAATTTGCTCTCTCTTACCTCCTTCACAAACACAAAGCATTACTTTAAATAGCACAAGTCAGTGGAATAGCACAGAATTCTAAAGGTCATATATGCCAAAATGACAGACCTCAACTTACCTTCTTAGGAATTCTCTCAGGGAGGTTGTTTTAAATGAAACAAAAAAAGCAAGGTCAACATTGGCTTCATATATAATACATTCTGACATCTGCTTTGGGGATTTAACTGCTCAGATAGCAGAACACTTTAAAAAGTTTAAGAATCTTAACTTTATGAAAGAAGTAACAGGATGGAACTGGGAACACAGTACTTACCTTACAAATCTGTGAACTGTGGTGTGAGGCCAAATGAGCAGTGCACTTAGAAGAACAGAATAGCTTTCCTTCTTAAATGAAAATTGATGAAACCAGTATGTTCTGTAGCAATTCCATCCTGAACATACAGCCTCCACTGGCTTTTGTTTTTTCAATGTTTGATCTCAAAGTAATTTTATTGCACTTGAATGCACTTTGCTTACTTGAATCGTAAGAAAAATGTTAAACATTTGCATGTCTGTAGAGAGAAAAAGTCTTGTAAAAGACATGTTTTTCTCTCTCTGCTTTTATTGTGCTTTAAGTTAGTCATGTACAGGAAAAGGAGTCAAAAGGAGTCAAGTTCACAGAAGCTTCTCTGCACAAAAGCTTCTGTGAAAGCTTCCCAAACAGCTGCACCAACACATTTCAGTTCTGGCCTAATGCAACTCCAACTTGGTTGAAAACATCAGCATCTGTGTCCCTTCACACACTGAACTGTCCTGAGGTTTACCAGCCAAGGTATGCAAGCCACTGGTTTTTCCACTGGATTGCTCATTTTAAAGGTTTTTTACAACTTCACCTGCTAAGTTGTAAAGGCTGCAAAAGAATTCAGCTAAAAAACTCAACATTACAAGCTCCATTAACTTTCTCACCTTCTTATGTCTTTTATATCTGTAAGTTGAAGTCACATACAGAGAAAGAGCTGTTTGAAAATAATTCTCTACAACAGATTTTAACCAAACTAGGATTACAGGCCTTCACAATTAATGTACCTTTTCATTTCCATCTTTGACTCATTTGTCCTGAGTAAAAATGTTTACAGCTATAGTTACTGTCATTTCAACCCCTGCCAGCAGCTGCTCACTGTATGTTACAGAGAGGTAAAAATAACCCAAACAAGAAATGGACAGTTTATGACCTGATTTAGAAAGATTTCATGCTCCCCCTACAGACTGAGAGAAACCAGTGGAGAACTACATCCTCAGAGAGAAATCCTAAGAAAAAGCACAAATAGTGGGCATAAGGCTTTTACTCCTTCCTTCAGTCCACCACAGGACACCAAGCTTCCACACCCTTTACTGACCTGGCTACTTATGCAGGCTAGTCCATGCCTTGTCTTTGAGAGAAGAGAGAAAGCAGAGCTTTGCCTTAAGAGAAACCAAGCACCCATCTGCTGATTTTTACCAGAACTTCAATCAGTCCTTATGACAACACCAGGAGTTGTTAAACTGCAACTGTATCAGGGCATGGTGAAATAGTGTTAGATGGCAAGCACAAGTGGCACTATCTGTAGGCCTGCTTTCCCTGTTCCTAAAACTGCATAGATTTTGGGCCTAAATTAATCGTTATGGGATACTCAAGAAATGCCTAGTCAAAGTCTGTTATTGCTCACATGAAATAAGGGAAACTATTATTTCTGGCTACTGCCAATTTAGAGGTGATGCGTCACAAATGATGGAGGTATGTCTATTGCTTTGGAAAAACCTGTTCTCCGCAATTAAATAGGGCCTTAAAAATCCATTTTAAAAGCCACTCTTGGGGTGAGCTTTTCGTTGATGTTTGAAGTCAGATGCCTAAATCTGTAGCTCAGAACCAGAATTACTGATGAATGCTGACTGCTGTCATCCTTCAAGCCAAAAATTATGTTCTCTGTAAGAAGGGCCATTAAGCAAAGAAGTATTTGACAAAAACACTTAAAATGAGAATGCCCAAGCCAAAAATTATGTTCTCTGTAAGAAGGGCCATTAAGCAAAGAAGTATTTGACAAAAACACTTAAAATGAGAATGCCCAAGCCAAAAATTATGTTCTCTGTAAGAAGGGCCATTAAGCAAAGAAGTATTTGACAAAAACATTTAAAATGAGAATGCCCAAAAGGTAAGTACATGTATGCAAACACAAAACCAATGAAACATACGTGGAGTACAGCTGAGACTACTGTGCAAAGTATGGCGCTGTTTTCCCTTATGTTTCTCTCCTTCTGTGTGTGAGCATTAAAAATCTCACCGTAAGTTTTTGGCACAGGATATATATTAAATTATCAAGTTTAGAAACTCTGCAGTTTTCAGTAAGGAAGAACAAATACAAGAAAAGCGTCCAAAAACCAATGAAACATACGTGGAGTACAGCTGAGACTACTGTGCAAAGTATGGCGCTGTTTTCCCTTATGTTTCTCTCCTTCTGTGTGTGAGCATTAAAAATCTCACCGTAAGTTTTTGGCACAGGATATATATTAAATTATCAAGTTTAGAAACTCTGCAGTTTTCAGTAAGGAAGAACAAATACAAGAAAAGCGTCCAAAGTCCATCCCAACAAAAGTCTCCTGCTGTTCCTATTGGTTTGCCAAGGTGCTTCTGCTCAGCCCAAATGTTTCTGCTTTAAGGCTGCTCTTTATCTCTGCTCTCCCAGTTGCTGGTTGGGATTTTTTCAAAACTGCAGGAACCTAGGCAAGATACAAAATAGCCTGTGATTACATGAGAAGCTGCTCTATATGCAGCAGAAGGAAAGAGTTTCATAGAGGCCTTGAACCCTGATTTTTCTCCCCTTATTTTCAGAACAGTTTCTCCCTCCCCAATCCCTCCCTGTACATTTCTCCAAGCCAGAGTCAGCATGTCCTGGACTTGGTTTTGAGAAACACTTAAGGATAGTACAGTTCACTGTAGCCATAGTCAACAATCCACAACAAACTACTTCCATCTGCCTCTTACCGGCAAAGGAGGGGAGGGAAGAAAGGGAGTTTTGAACTTTTGAATCCACTAATACTTCTGCTATATTAGAGCACAAAGTGGAAGTAGACAATACAGTTCCACAAGTCCAGGAAAGGGTTGTCAACAGGGAAAATGACCCATACATACTAATCTGGTCTCCTTGGAAATCTTCATACAGCTTGGTACCATCAGCATCAATGACAAAGATAGCTGTTGTTTGTGCATGTGAGGAGCTATTACAAACTTCAGGCTGAGATTCAGGACATCAAAACCAGGGCATCATTCTCCAGAGAGATGTTACAGCTACAACCTGTCCTCATCAGCCTTTTATCTTTACTTACTCTTTTACAGGACAGAGACCACAGATCCAGAGTTAGTATGTGGGTGGGAGGATAAGGGTAGCATCCATTGTGTCCTTCGCTATGAACGGACTGCTGTGGCAGCTGGGAAGGTAAATGAGGGCTGCTTCTACCATTGGTCTCAGCTTCCCTTGGGCTGCCAGGTGTGTCTTTGCCAGTGCTGGGGCTTCCCTCCTCATTCATCCAGCGAGGGAGCACCTTGCCTGTCAAGGAGCAGACCCTGAGCAGACCCCCAATACTCTGTGGCACACCCCTCTACAAAGGCTTATTTCCTGCTTTAGAAATGGACTGTACTCTGCCTGTAGCTGAAGGAGAAACCCTGGCCAGCCATACGTACGTGAGGAGGTAGTGGAGGTTCTAGGTGCCGCCCAAGGAAGGAAAGTAAGCGTCGCCATATCAGACCACTTCCCAGAAACATAATCCCCGTCACCAGCCAAAATATCCTGGGGTCCTACCAACAGAATGTGCCCATTAGTCATGCAACTATCTCTGCAGAAAAGGGATTACTCTCATTTCCCACCAGTGCTCTCCTCCTTTATGGGAGGAAGCAGTAAACTCTCTACCATCAACCGCCAAGCCCTACCTTGGGAAAAGGGCTGTTTCATAGCAAACTATCTTGTTCAGGAATCACCCACTGTATTCTGTTACTAGCCCATGCAGTTTTCCTTCCTTCACTGGGAAGTTTGAAAATTCAACACTTAAATTTAATTGGTTTGGAAAGGAAGAGGTCTTTGCTTTGTCTGTTTGTTTTAAAGATGGCATGTGAAGTTTTAAAGTTGTACCCCCAGTCTGTACCCCTTCCTCCCCAGTTTAGATATAAACATGTATTGACAGTAGAGTATTTCCTCTGGTGTGCTGGAAATGCCTTGACTCTTGCCCGATACCCTTGTATCTGGAAGACAAAGCTGCTCTTTTCACAGCACATGATCATTAAGGAAACCTTAATACTACTTTAAAGTCAGTTCTTAGATAAACAAAAAAATTGTATTCCCATTTCTTTTCCGTGGATGTGACAGAAAAAAGGCTGCAATACTGTGCAGTTAGCCATACAGTAATTTGCTCACAAAAAATGGGGACTGCATGAACACACGCATCAGTGGAGCTTTGTCTGTGGAAAGAATGAAGTTGCACCAAATATAAAATACACTCTAAGAGCAGGGCCCACATTTTGTGTCACTTATAAAAGCAGCACTTGTTCCTTACCTCTTCAAGAGATGACTGTAAGTTCATACCAAATGCAACTCCTATTAGTCCAAAGAGAGACAGAGAGAAAGTCCCCATGGTCAGCTGCAAGTTCAGTCTCATCATCACATTACGGTGGCTAAAGAAGGGAGAAACATCTGTAAGGGGAACCCAAAAATTGATTTGCTGCCTAAATTCTCAAATTCCATACAGCATGCACAAAAACAAAATAGTGAAAGAGAGGAAGTCATGCTGGAACTAGGCAACCCAGTGACAAAGCTCATGAAACAACAGTATAAAGAGGCTATTGGTTTGGAATTACTGCATCAGGATACATCCAGGCAGCAGGTTCTGCTTAATCAGTGTGGCTCACTTCTTAGACCTGTATACACAAAGAGTAACAGTACGTAGCCGCAGAAGTTTGTGTTCTCTCACCGCTAACTATGTGGAATTTGTATGTCCATATTCACAAGCAACCAAAATTTACTGTTACTTTGCAAATGAATACACTTTGAGTCAGTAAATACTGCAGACTAGAAACCTGAGCCTGTTTGAAAGAATTCAAGTCTTTCCCAAAAAGATTTTTATGGTTTCCTGATGCAGCATCTACCAATTGCTTCTACAGATAACTCCCTGGGTAAAGAGGAGAAAGAACATTAAACCCAGTCCTCAAAGACAGAGTCCTCAAAGACAAAGGATATGCCTATCCTTGCAAATGCAGGCTACAATTATTTTTCAGTAGAAAGCTGACTAGGAGTGAAAAATGGAGCAGAGAGAAAGAAAATACTTGCTCCAAAGTTATTAACTCTTGTATCACTCCACAGAGCAATAATGCAACTTGTACTGAACACTCGAGTAGCCTAGCCAGACTCTGGCTAATAATCTTTTCTGAACAGAATTTTAATTTGCCTCTAAATTTGCAGACATTTCTCTTATTAAATAGCTCCACAGGAGGATCTAAGAGAAGCCGTGTTTCTCCTGCTAGGGAAAACTGATGCCTAGCTAAAGAGGTTTATACACACGCTAATTAGGCTATCTTGTTGCTTTGCTTTATCCAGTTCACTGATAAGAAAAGTGCAATGCAGCTGTGACTGCAAGTCCATTCAAACCCTCATCAAGACAGAAATCTCCAACTTTCCTTGTAGGTCGATTTGAGAAAGTCTAAACAGCATTAAATTCTGCTCAGCTTTTGTCAATCCAACAGACTGGGTAGCTAACCTGTCCAGGTTGATAAAGATGATGCTTTCTGAGTCATCAATCAGTACTCTGAGTTCACGAGCTTCATTTGCAAGATCTTCTGCTTGTCTGTAATAATTCTCCAGCAGCAGCTCCATTTCCTCTGCATGGTCAATCCCAGATGTACTCTCCTCACTGTGAGCAACAATTTATATTTTTCTGGTTAGCTACATATTGTATAGAAGTGTATTACTGATGTGTTAAGGCACATAAAAGTTGAGGGCAACAAGAGTGCTGTTAGACACGAGCTCAAAATCCAGTCTTTACTGTGAGGAACTTCCATCAATAGAAATGGCATAAAATTAAAGGAATATTTTTGTATTTATCAGCAGCTCAGTCAATTATTTTGAATAGAGCAGTTAGTATTTGATGGGCTTAAGGCATGCATTACCACCACAAATCTTGTTTTCAGATATTATACAGTTAGAAAATTATAGAAATTTTATATTATTCATTAAGTTTATATTACTATAAATGTATATTAAATTTTTATAAAGTGCTAACAATTTTGACAGGAGCTGTTTGAGGTGCCCTCAAGTGGTGGAAGCTGGTAACAGTGCAGTCAAAAACTTGGAAGAATAAAACATAACCAGAAGTCAACACACAAACAATTACACAGTGAGGGAGATGGTTTAGGTGTCTATTAAAATAGTTTAGTCGTAAAGCATTTCAGCTATACACAGCAATTACTGCAAAGGGTTTTAGGAGCATGAAGCAGCCAAAGAGTAAGCATCAAATGAAAGATGCTACTCTCCTAAGTGAAGTCTGAGACTTTCATCTTACTTCATGGTGTGAATGCTGGGGCAAGCCTTCCTCTGAGACAGCTATGTATGTTTCTGGCATTAGGCAGATGAAACCTGAGGCACCTGAGATCCCCAAGGGCTAGGAAACTAGCAGCAAATCCAGGAAGATTCTTGATCATTTTGTCTTTTGTGATATGACCTCATTTCTCTAGAGAGACTAAACCTTTTAAAGAATCTCCTCCTGGCATTGCTGACTGTCAAAGGAACCTCTCTGAAATGGTTTTCCAAGAAAATAAATGGTATGTCTTAAGAACCAACCCACTTAAGCTCCCTAAGGACCTTTGACAGAGCCCCTAGTTTCTCTCACATGGGGCAGAATTTTTGAGTTAGCAGATTTCAAAGCCCTCCAGACCCTGAGGTTTTCTTTGCATGGAGATAAGTTGCAGACTTGAAAGCCTCAGAGCACTATCTGCTGTATTATGGATTCAGCTCAAGGTCTTATTTGATGATTATCTTTACATTTACATCAGCTCGTCTGTGGACATACAAAGGGAAACAACAGCCATAAAGACATGAAAATAACCACCACCTCACGTGCTTTCATTAACTAGCCTCCACCTGCCTCATGAGCCTTCCATGGTCTGCCATTCCTTCACACAAAGGTACAAGGTCTGCCTCATCTTGTCTCTCTGAGCTCAGCTCACCATTTCTCCTGCAAATGATCTCTGATGGCACCAAAATGCCTAACTGGGTTTCTCCACAGCAAGTGTGTCCCAGGTTCATCAAATATCACATATCACCTGCATCAATCCTGAAGCCAAAGAAGCTGCCCACACACTGCCAGCCTGTCTGCAAACATGCCACTGTGTTTCCTGGTGTGGTTTGTGCATCCTGAAGCATGGCTCCAGCATTTTTCAAACAACTTCCCACCACTTCTCCTACCCTTGTGCAATAGGGTCTGAAGGAAGGGATGACTTTGGGTTTCTCCTGACATAAGTGTAAGGTGACAGTGGGAACCTTTCCTAGATGTCCCACACATTGTCTACCGTGAGGCAATGTGAGATTTGCCAGCAGAGTGGATTAAGTCCAAAGGAAGGCTGTGAGCAAAACCAAGACAAAGACCAGCTGCTGGCTCAGGTGCAGCTGGAATTCAGACCCTGCCCTGATACTGCACCAGGAGATGCATTAGAAGTGCAAACCATGTCCCATTTCTGGAATATGGAGTTTCTGCTGGACATTTAGACTAAGCTCTGTAGGGCAAGAAACTACTTCCTGATTCAAACCCACACTATTGTGTGAACAGTTTTAATATCCACACACAATGCAGTTAGGCAAAAATATTATTCAGCAACTTCACAAAGGACCCTGTAAGATAAGTTTCTGTTACCTGCTTAAACATAAAACACGTCTGTATGCCCAAAATTTAAAGGCAATTCAGCCCAAAGCATATTTAGATCTGATAGACATTATTTTGCTCTATAGTTTTGATTAAAGTGACCAGTGCTGCTGTGTGCTGTCTTTCACCATAATGTGAGAGTGCAATAGAACTGTTTCTGCATATGCATTTCTCCTAAACTGCTGTTCTGCAGGTACACAGGATTGCTCCAGGACTCCTTCCCTCAGGTTCTGCTGGGGAGCAAAAAGCTAGAAGCAAGACGTTCAGAACACTTCTAGTAAAGGAAATGTGGCATCTGACCTATTCAAGACAAGCTTAAAAATCTGCCTCTTTGGGTTTTCTTGTGGTGAAATTGATGAAAGTGCTCCCAGAAGGTGCTGACTTATATTGAAAAACATTTGCTTTTCTGCCATCCTGCTCTCATCCCATTACATACTAGATAAGCTGGCCTGTCATGCCAAGAACTACTTGTAACTGGACAACATGACAGTCGACTGATAATGGAGTTCCACTCCAAAATGGCAAATACAATGATTTCTGAAGTAGCAAGCATTAGGGCTTTAAAGAATTAGAAAGTCTTTTTCTTTCTGATTTTTTCACAGGGAAGACCCAGTTAGTTTAAAGTTCTCCCTAAACAAAATACAGTTAAAAAAGCATGTGGTTTCCAAATATACATACAATACTTGTGGATCACTCCATTTAGATAGACAGAGCTCTTCTATTAATTCTTCTTCATCTAAGATCTCCAGAATTGTTTCTTTGAAAACTTTAAGATCTGTTTCCAGTTCTGACAAGCTGAAGAAAGAACAGGCAAAAGGTCAAGTAATCCCCACTGGCACAAGTGCACAAAGGTAATCTCTACATGAGTTTGAGTGGCCAGGGAAAAATCCTTGCAGGGCTCTAACAACTCCATCAAAACATTCTCTACAGGCCACACACTTAGCAGTGGCAGTGATCTGGCCCAGGAACTGCAAGCTACAGGCACATACTAAAAAAGATCCAGATGTGTTTTCTGGATATATTTTAAAGTCAGAAAAAACAAGTGCTCTGTGATCATGTAGCAAGTCATATTGCACTGCCACATGAAAGAGTCTAATGCATGAAGGTACCAGTGTAGTGCTAGTAAACTTGAAGCACAGATTTACATTATGGAGAACTTTTTCATGTTATTTTGTTCTCTTAGGTATCATTTTGTTCTGTCATATGCTATTTAAGAAGCACGACTGTATTTCTGATCACTTAGAATATACTTCTCCTTCCCCTTTTCCCCCATATTGCTAGGTATTTTATATACCAATTTTTACATTTACAAATAAGATGCACAACCCAGCATTACAGTAATCTAGGAAATTAATACCAGATACCATTTTTCTAACATTTCTATGCATGTTATTTTCCATGGTCATCTTCTAGTCTCTTCACAGCTTATTCTTATTTACCTCTTGCCATTTTGCAGAAGAATGTGTAGTTTACTCCTATCCACAGATAAAAGCTTGGGGTCCACTAGAGCTTCCAGTGTCTCAAGGATCTGAGGCTGCAAATTGTTAAGTCTCCCCTGCAGTTTGCTGATCTAGATAACAACATGATCCTTCATAAGAATTAAAACAATCCATTTAGAATGACTTGGGCAACTGACTCCTGTCTCTCAACACAGAATTCACAGTAAAGGTAGTTAATACCATCTGCTTTCCAATGCCTGGGAAATACTTGCTATAGGAATACCATTTAAAAGATAAAGCCAGTGCAAAATACAGGACTTAATAAAAAGTGATTTGCACAGAACTGAAACCCAGTGACAACCACACCAATAAGGCTGATAAAGCTAAAACACTATTGTCTGGAAATGTTATATTAGCGTTAGCAAGCAGAGATTTTTAATGATAACTAGAAATCGTTTCCTGACTCCTAGTCAAGAGGCCAAAAACCTTGGCACTTTTGTGTGACTTCCATTTCAGCTACAGCATATCTCTAGAAAAGGAACTCTGACTTGTATTTTAATTGTCCAAATGATAGTGAAGCCACCACATCCAATTAACACTTTATTAGGAAGGGAATGAAAGGACACACACACACAAAACTGTAAGAACTAAAGCAACAAAAATCAAGACTAAAAAACAGCTCCTACAGGAAGTGCAGACTACATATACCCATATGTATGTAGAAATATTAACACAAGAATAAAATCATAGTGGTCTTTCTATGAAACAACTTCCCAAACAATTTTAATAAAGATGAGATAGCTCACCCAGTATTGCAGGATTGCTTCTATGGCTCGGAATTCAAAGGGCAGGGCATATGTAACTAGCTGACCTTCCCCTGACAGCTGAGATGCTAGTTCATTGAGGAGCCAGTGTTCCAGACTTAAATTACGATAATCTAGTATCAGAAGAAACTCTGGTGTTATGACAGCCTTCAAGACCTGAAAAAGACAGTACATGTAAGGAGTCTGAAAAAAAATTCACTGAAGATTTCTAACTCTGCAGCACATTTCGGAATTTGGGCTTTGATAAGGCCACTCTTCAAATGTCTTTTCAGGTAGGAAAACAACAGAATCTCATGCTAACTGCAAACATGCTCAGACACAGCACTGTGCCCATGGTCATACATTGAGAAGAGGCTCCTCATAAGCCTTTACTCCTGTGACAATGTTAGTGATGTTTCTCCTGTGCTCAACCAGGAAAATGGTCATTAATATGTACTGTGGGCAGACCCATACTCTGATTACTAGGTCAAGCTCCAAATACACATTTACTGCTGGACTGCATGTCACAGAAAGTTGCTGTTAAAAGAACTGTGCAAGGCAATGAACGTGCAAGGATAAGACAGGGTTTGCACTTAGCTATAGGGAAACCATTACCTCCATTCTCATGATGATCCTGTTGTTCCTAGTTGCAATGCTCATTACATGTTGAAATCTTAAATCTCGAGCTTGAAGACCCAATTCCTGGTACAATTCTGTTTTCTTCTTTTCTATCATAAAAATATTTTTAGATGAAGACATTTAGAGCAAGACCAGCATATATGTTCCAAAATTACATTTTAGTGTAAGTTACAAAGTCCTACACACAGAAAGAAAGTTGTGCTATCTTTAAAATAGTTTTCCTCCCATTGACTCCTCAGTGTAAGTTATTTTCTACTAAGTTTGGAAGACTGTACCTTGAGTGAAAAAAGAAAATTCTAGATTTAAGTGAAAACATTTGCCACAACAATTAATTTCATGTCAGAAAGAAGTGGCTTTTTTGAGAAAACCCATGTAATCCAACAGGAAGGGAAAGACAAGGCAGGGGAAGTGGCATGCTGGTCAAAAAGGGAAAAAAGAAAGAAAAAATTACCTTCCTGTGAGAGATGGTAATATATTATTTTAAAAATATTACTTCAAAATTGTAACAATAAAGATGCTATTAAGACACAATAGAAGGCAGCAAAACAAGAAACATTGCAATATCCCAAATAAACACAGTGAAGTATCCAAACCATATTTTTTTACCCCAAGTAGATTCCCAGTTGGGCTTTTCTATATTGGACAAGGAAAAAGGCAAATAAAACCCAAACAAAACCACAATGAAAACTTACCAAAATAGGTAGTATTTCCCTCTTTATCAAATTTCATCTGAAAGAATGGAAAAAAAATTATTTATTTCATAGAATCACTACAAAACTACAAATCAATTTCAAAAATTATTTGCACTTCCCTAGAAGCCAAATGGAAAACATGTTAAAATGAGACAGCAACTTTGTATGCCCTCTATTCACAGTTCATCCCAGTTAAGCAAAATATTGCACCAAATGGCTGTGTATTTCACTGTGTTTGCAACCAGTGTCATCTGCATTACCTACACAAAACTTGTAAAGAAGTGATGCACAGAGGATCAGACTTAGAATAGAATAGACTATTTCAGTTGGAAGGGACCTACAATGCTCAGAGTCCAACTGCCTGACCACTTCAGGGCTACAGCATGGTGTTAAGGGTGCTGTCCAAATGCCTCAAACACTGACTGACTTGGGACACTGACCACCTCTTCAGGATGCCTGTTCCAGGGTTTGACCACCCTCTTGACAGATGTTTCCTCATGTCCAGTGTAAACCTCCCACAGCACACCTTTGAGCTATTCCCATGCATCCTACCACTGGATCCCAGGAAGAAGAGACCAGCAGGGCATCTTAAATTTTCAATTAAAAATTCAGCTATTCCCTCTGGAACAATCTTAAAAATTTACCAACAAATTGTGTGGCCAAGCCTTGTGCCCACATCAAGTACGGTAATGACAAGCTATTCTGCTCATAGCCTGCATCCTAAATCTTTCTCATCTTGGCATTTTTCATTCATATTATTCATTTAACACTTTTATTTCCTAGTAAAATTATTTTATTGGAAAAACTTCTATGTGTGGGTTAATCAGAAAGTTTGCTGTTTTGCTCATGAACTAGTTTTAAAAATAACTTCCAGTGCATACTAAGCATGTATTCCAGCAGGGCTGCAACAGAGTTTACATAGCCACATGCACCTTGTTGCAGAAAGTGCATACTAAGCATGTATTCCAGCAGAGCTGCAACAGTTTACATGGCCACATGCACCCTGTTGCAGAATGACTACTTCTGTTGTCAACAAGGAGGCCTCACCTACTCTCACAGGCACCAGTAACATGACCTGAGCAGCTTGCAAGTGGCTTTCAGCCTCATTTAAAGAAACAGCTTGTTTTTCACTGAATCCTAAGTTTGCTTAGAATTGCAGGTATCAAGACACAGGTCTGATACTTGTAAAAGGCAGTATCAAGCTCTGACAAACCTAACAAGAAACTTTTGACTGCAGCAGTTCCCAGAGTCAACCTGGCCTCGCAATTAGAGAACTCCCAGCAAGTCCTGGACCTTAGAAAACATCTTAGCCATGCTGCTTACCCGAATTGGACCCTCAAGTCAGAATAGCCCAAACTAACAATTTAGAAGTTGCAGTGTTTTCTGAGACATAAATCCACACACTTTTAGGATGCTTTAACGTTATAAAAAGAAGGGAAAGGTGACCATCCCCTTGCCCGAGCTGCCCTGGAGGGTGGAAACACGTGCAGGTACTCACCCCCGCAAAAACAGGAGACACGCTGGCTAAGGTGGCTTGGGAAGTCTCCGTGGTGGCATGCTGGTCAAATTTACCTGAAGGAAGACAACACACTTGCACTTCCAGCACACCGCGCCCGGCCCGGAGCGCGAGAAGGGCCCGAGGAACC